CTTTGCTGCCCGTAATTCAAAGCAAACGGCAGCCTGAGGACGCTCCAAGTCCACGTTTTGTTTTCAGACCTCCACTGTTGTCAACGGTGGAACAAATTAACGCCTGTGGGGATTATGCAACGGCTCTGGTAGAGTGATAGTTTATGGATAAAGTTTTATTTCATAGCTCAGCAAGAAAAACGTCATTCAACACGTGGATAGATTTGTTTGCATCCCTTCATTAATGGAAACATCCAACAAAGGTCCATGGAATAACTTGAAACTGACCAAAGTAATGAGAAGAACATTTCTGAAAATGAGCTAATGGAAAATCCAGTATTGCTTTTGAATTTTTATATATCAGAAATATATATATATAAACAAAATAAATAAAACTGGTCTTGACAAAAATGATGATACTTCTAAAAACGATTGAAATACATTTGAACACAGGGACGTGTTCAACTAAGGTGCGTCCTATAATTAGCATCACAAGTGCATTCAGTCTTGTTATCTATCAGTCTGCCTATTTAAAGGGTTAAAAGTACCGTATTTTTCTCAGTATAAATTGCAACTTTTTGCATAAATTTGCAAGTCCTTTGACTTATACAGCGACATGACTAATATATGTTTTTTTTCCATATTTATAACCCAATTTTTGGCTGAGATCTGACGATTTCATTCATTGACAAGGAAAATATTGAACACTACCATTTTCAGCCACTAGAGGGCCCTCGACTAATATGGCAAGCCAAGTGTCTCATTAATAGATAACAATGGCTATTAATGAGACACTCGGGTTGCCTTAGTAGCCACCTTCATCTCGCTCCGGAAAGCCCGGAACAAATATTAAATCAGCTGCATTTTGCCACACCGCCCAGGCGAAATGCAGCTGATTTGACCATTAAAGTGAATTTATTAAGTCAAAGTTCAGCTGAGACACACCTTTACTATAAAGTCAAGCAAACAAATAATTGTTTTTAGGTGGTTATCTTGTTAAATTGCAAAGAAAAACACAGCGAGTCGTCCCTCTGCGCGCTCCCGCAGGCGCAAATTGATTTTTGAAATACAACTGATTTGACCATTAAAGTGCATTTATTAAGGAAAAGTTAGACTGAGACAGACTTTTGCTATAATTTTGAGCAAACAAATAATTGTTTTTAAGTGTTAATCTTGTTAAAGTACTCCGGTGTACGTTCCCGCGGTCGCCACTTGGTAGCCAATCGATTTTTGGCACAACACCGTTCCACATTTCCGGGTGGTCAACGGTGGCACATAATTATTGCAACTTATACGGCAAAGCAACTTATCTATGTTTTTTTCCACTTTATTAGACATTTTTGGACCGATGCGACTTATACGGCGGTGTGACGTGTGTGGTAGCAAGTTCGATAGTCACTGTGCTGTTTACCTACCTGTCAGATAACTGGAACAGTTTGCTCACAAGGAATGGGCCAAAAGCTTCGAGAGTTACAGAAACTGTTCATTGCAGTGATTGTTTCAAAGGGTTCTACAATGAAATATTAACTTCAGGGCTCCATCCTTTTAGTTAAAGCCAGTTTCATAGTTTTAGTTTTTCATCCATAAGTTAAAAGCAATATTCAATTTTTTATTCCCTGACTTTCATAATTGTTTTGTCCCTTTTATTGCTTTTGTCAATTTTAAATGACTTCAGTGACCATTTTAAGATTTTCCTTTCTTTACTCAAAGTGTACTAACATTTTTATCCGTGTTTGTATTGACGTGGCACTTTTCGTTCTGCACTAAAAGGAAAAGGGAAGTTTAACAAACGGTAGCTTCTTTGTTTCCACACAGCTTTTCTAATCGACCTGATGCTGTTTCTTTTCTCCCTAACCCACGTAATCCATCGGCTGCAGAATGATTAATTACCGTTTGCCTGAGAATGGGGCATGGAGGTGATGAAAATGAAAATAATTAGAATATCGCGTTCCCCATGGTGAGTTTGGTGTGCAGAGCAGCTGAGCTGCGCAGGCCTATTCAACACAAACGAGTCTGGACAACAAAAAGCATCCGCTCAGCGTGGTCCCAACCACCTCCCTTTCAACAAACGACAGCAGAGGACATTATTTTTATATTTATTTCATTGATCGCGACTCAAAGTAAATTTATTACCTTTAATTCTGTCTGACTCTGAAGGAGGGATATGGAGTCAGAGTCACGCTGGCTTTGATAGACTCTTAGGCATTCTCTGCACATTCACTCACACATTTCCTGAAACGTAAAAAAAATAAAAAAATAACGAGCAATGTTCCTTTGCATAATTGTCACCCCGATGGAGCTCAAAACAGTGTTAATTTGTTTTGACTGGGAAGAATCATTTTATAGCAATTAAAAGAGACAACTTTTTTTTCTCCCCAGACTCAAGATTTTACCAGAAAAAGACTCAACTGGAATTTATGTCCCGTCACATTAAAAGAAAATGTCCATCAAACGAAAAGGGTAAAATTTTGTTCAAGCTTATGAAAGTTTAATAATGTTTTAATTGCCAGCTACGTGTGACTTCTTCCTTACATAATTTGCTGGAATTAATTAGCATTTATTTATTTTTTTTATTTAGCCATTCCTCTTGTTCAGAGGAGTTGTGATAGAGGTTTAGCGGTCTTGTTGCCTGAGGAATGAAGCAATCTCTTCTACATCAGGTTAAACAGGGCTCTGTCACAACAACCAGGGCCTCTTAGGACTTCTGCTATTTATCTCCATTAGAAAAGGGTGACACAGCTGTAAACATGGCCCTCCTCCATGTTTAATACTTAAAGATGTCTTTATTTGATGAAATTTGGACCCTTTTCATGTCAAATAATCTACTTTTTCCTCATCCAGGGAACTCTGAAAATAACTTGGAACTAGAGAAATTGTATTTCCTTCCAAAATGCAGGGTGAGTGCTTTTTGCAAAATACATTTCTGGAAAAACAGCTGAAACTAGCTAAAAAAAAAAGCATGCTGAAATGTAGCCGAAACAACAGAACAAGCTTAAGTTAACATAATGAAGAACACATGTTTTCTGAATTAGGTTTAGATATGTAGAAACGCACAAAAATGAGGAAATTAGCTAAAACCAGCTGAAATTGGCAAAACAAAAATAGTTGAAAATTAGCTGAAAAAGCAGAAAGAAGCACAAACTGCTAGGCTGAATGTAGCAGAAATTACCATGAAAATTATGAATTTATCTGAAAACAGTTGAAATTAGCTAAAAATGCTAAGCATGTATCTGTAAAGTTAGAATATGCTTAAATAAGCAGAAGAAAGCAGAAAGAACATGTTTGCCCAATTAGGCTAAAAGAAGCAGAAATGAGCTCAAAAAAGTTGAAATTATCTGAAAAAAGTCTGAAATTAGCATAAAACGAGCTGAAAAGTAGTTAAAAAAAAAGGCAAAAAGAAGCTTAAATTACCAGAAGGAAGTGGAGAGAGCATATTTTTGCTGAATTAGGTTGAAAAAAGTTAAAATGAGTGCAAAAAATGTGGAATTAGCTGAAAAAGCTAAAATGAGCATAAAACATCTAAATAGTAGCTAAAATAGCAGAAATAAGCTGAAAGTTGCATAAGAAGGTGAAATTAGCAGAAAGAAGTTAGAAGCAGAAAAGTGTTGTAGTTATCAGAAATAATCTGAAACGAGCACAGAAGCGCTGAAAAAAATCTGAAATTAGCTGAAAGGAGGTGAAAAAAGTTAAAATTTGTACAATAAAGCTGAAATAATCTGAACTAGGACAAAAAGTGAAAGGAGCCGTAAAAGACTGTAAACAGATCTAAAGATCTGAAGGATGTAAAATAAGCTCAATTCATTTTTCTATGAGAAAAAAAAAAAAAAGGCTAAATATTTCAAAAAGCTAAAGTTGCACCAATACCAAAAGTTTGCAAAAGTCAGCACCTTTCTCCTAAAGAAGCTGAACATTTTATTACCTAAATTGCTGAAATAACTTAACAACTGCAGGACGAGATTTGGGCCGAAAAAAGTACGGAACAGGGATAAGTCAGAATAATAAATATAAACAGGAAAACAATAGTGTGAATGCTTAATAAGCATTCAGCCTATTAAAAACTATTATTTTTATTTAATTAAAGAGCCAAACAGTGTTTGAACTTTTAAAAGTCTTTCACTGGTGCAGAAACTCACATCTTTACACTTTAAACTTTATGACTTTTAGGGTCCAGTTCATTTTACAGTAAGTTATGTATTTGTCCATGTTTCTGTGACTCTTAAGGCGATTTTACAGAAATCGAGCAAAACTTTGACACGGTAGTGGCTGAGAGTCATCCCTGATACTTTGAGTGTGAGATCTTGAGATATTACACTTTTTTTTTTTAAAATAGGACCAAATTGGCTTCAACTACATACAACATAAAATCTTATTTTAAAACTCTGGCATGAAAGGAAATGAGCAAATGCATACTTAGAACTACTATGCCTTTAATATTACTGTACTAATATATTTATTGGTTAACATATTTTTTGCTGTAACACTCCACTGAGTTTAAGTTTTATTAATAGCATTGGAAATCATGCCCTTATGTTCTTTGGAGGTAACAAAATATTAAAGCTGCCTTCAAATATCCACAATTCCATGTTTATTATTATTTATAATTAAAGTTTTCCATTTTAACAGAACTTTAATCACAAAAATGAAGATATTACCTCATGGGAACATTGATGCTTTGTTATTTATGCTACAAAACACACAGTGAGCATACGTTTCTGTGAGTAAGAACAAACCAGAATTCACTGGATGCGTTTCATTTTCTTGGCTTTTCTTTCTTGTTACCAGACGACAACCAGCTTCCAAACTCTCACAGAATAATAACGACACACCTGAATGATTCCTTCAAAGCTTCCGTCCTCAGTGACCCCGACTCCTTTTCGTTATTCTGGTTTCTGTTTTGAAAGTAGAGTCCAGACACGGCGTAGCTGCATCCTTTTCAGGCGCGGTTATAATAACAGGCATAATTTCTGAGGCAATCTTTAGTAAATTAATTTTTTTAAACTTCGAGTTTTCTCCTAGAGTAAAAATCTTTTTAGGAAAGTCATTTTGGCAGCAGGTGCATATTTTCCTCTCTACATAAATGGCTCCTGAACGAAAAAGGAAACTATATTACACCCCCACTACAGCTATGCTTTTTTTTAAAACAGCCGAAGCCTCAGCGGGTTTCACAGTGACTATTGTGAGCTTGAGCCTGACGCTCTAATACAGCCGACGGCTCGTAAAGCAGATCGTCCTCTCCAAGGATTGAACTGTGATCCAAGTTGACAAAGTTGGGGATGTTGAAGTGAGACAGGAACTCTCTGTCTGTCTTTGTCTTCTCCACGAGTCCACCAAGAGGTTGGTGTCCCCCGGTTTCCTCCAGGTCCTCCTCCATTTCATCCAACCCAGAGGAGCAGAGCCCTCTGCTCGTCTTGTCTCTGGCAGAGCGCCGGTCAGTGTCTCGTTTCGGCCTCCCCTGATCCTGATCTTCCTCGTTGATGTAGAAGTTGAAGTAGGAGCGAGAGCCCGTGAGCAGCGGGCGAGAGAAAGCCTTGTCGTTTTCGTCCTGGTGGCCATTGATGTCCACCAGACAGCTCCCCGGTCGCTGACGCTTCTCCGCCAAGTCTGGGTTTCTGTTCAGAGTGAAAACAGTCAGAGTAAGAAGAATGAAGAAAGGCTCTTTAACACTTTGTGGGGATTTTTCTTCTATTATCTTTTCCATTTTTCATAATTTCTTGTCTATACCTGGAAATTAATTGATATTCTAGCAGCACTTTATGAAGAAATAAAGGGTTTGAAGAAGAGCGCCATTTAAAGAAACGCTTCATCTTGGCTCAACCAACACATTAAATCTAATGGAATTCACTTTTCTAACAATTTTTCTTCAGTTTGACCCAAAAATGATGCCTTTACCAACACTTTCTAATAGAGTGTGCCAATATGTAAACACTGAAGCATCATCATCACTGGTCCTTTAAAATAATTTGTCTTGCATCTCATTGCGCAGCTTTGGAAAAAACAAACAAACAAAAAAACGTGCAAATTTAGCATTAAAACGTATGTTTCAATGGGAAATAATGCGCTAGGGTGGTTTTATGATCTGCAAAAATCAGCATGAAGAAAAAACATTGGGGATTGATGGGATTTTTGCAAAACAGACGAGAAAACCCAACTCTTTATGGAGTCATGCTTTTGCTCAGAATATTCTCTTCAAAACAGGAAGCAAAGGCTTTTAAAATTTTTTAAACTACTCCAACATAAAAGACTTAAGAAAAACATTTTAAAAATCCTGTGTGACCATTAAAGTCTCGTGCTTCTCTGACTTGTAGTTTTTGCACAGTGAGGCTTAATTTTCAGCCCGTGTCTGTCTGACTCGCTTGAGTTTGCAGTCAGGGAGCGAAAGACAGAGGTGGGAAGTAACCATGGTGACCATAATGAGACACTGGAAGCAGGTTTAACATTTCTTTTGATCTTGGTTATCTTTACTCTTTTTGTACTGATCATAACAAGTGTAGGCGTTTTATAGTTAGAATTTGGGGCAGTAGCTGCATTGGCACTCTTCAGAATTTATCCAGAATGTTGGTTTAATATTTCTTTAAGGTCCGGTAAAGTCGTATGCTTTTCATTCATTCAACCTTTACTTATACAGGTTAGTCTCATTGAGTCAAGAGGACTCATTTCAAAGAGAGACCTGTTTTAAACAAAAATATTTATTTATGTATTCATTTATTCATTAATTTAAAAGAAAAAAACAAATTAATTCAAAATAGGTATAGATTTGTAGGCTGTGATGTAGTCTACGAGATACATGGGCATACGGAGTATACCCACTAGAAATGTTTAAACATTTCAGTGCAGTAGTCCCTCACTACTTCATTTTATAGTGTTTAAAGGTATTTTTAATCCTGCAGTTTTTTTTTTTTTAGTTTTTTAGCTTTTAATTTTTTTAGTCCATGTTTTATTCTCTTTAGATATTTTATATTGTAGCACTTTGAGATCGTAAAATGTAAAGTACAGTCCAAATTGAACAAATTATTATAAACTTTTATTATCGCGGACTCGTTCTATCGCGGTTTTTCAAAATAAGATCGGACATGACACACAACTGGCTGATTGATGGATGAGCCGCACGATTGGCACGGAGCTTTTATTGAAAATAAATTATTTAAAATTATTTAACACCTGCTGCACATTTGTACAGCTCTTACGGCAGGATAAACTTCCTACTGCAGCTGATCAGCTGTTCTATGTACAGAGCGGATAAGTGGGCGTGGCCAAGACCGCTTGCAGGTGGCTGAGAGCAGCGGAGGCAGGGAGCTGAAATCATGACATTCTGTGCTCTTTTAGAGTGTTTAGAGTTTAGAAACACACACACACATATATATATATATATATATCAATACATATATAAAGAACAAAATAAACTACTACTTACTACTTGTACTACTATTCCTACTTCACTGTTTTTCACTTATCGCCGGTCTTCAGGGTACAGATCCCCCGCGATAAACGAGGGACTATTGTATATCCATTTAAAAGTGCCCAATGATTCATGACATACCATTATAGGCACATGTCATTGATGCGTTAAACAACAGTTAAATGATTCCGTAACAATCTATCCCGATCACGCTGCTTGCCTTTATGATGGTTTGGTTTCATGTCTCGAGTACCCGGACTCAAATGCTTTGGGCTGAATGGATCAGATCTTGGGGATTTTTACTCAGACATGTTCCATCGGTGTGACCATGTTAATTTGGACATTTCGGAACCGAGTGGACCAAACACAGACTCAAGGCAGATGTCATTAAGTTCTGCCTGTCCCCAAAACAAGTATGTGTTTATCTAAATTTTGGTTGCCTTGGTTGTCCTTGAAGGCCACCTTATCTGAATTTCGCCTGGAGAAAATGTGATCTGGCGCTCACCACCCCCTCCCTGAGGAATTTCCAACTGATAAAAAGATGAAACCCCGCTGAAAAAAACTTTGTGTCATCATTTCAGGACTCTGGATTCTCATAGATGTTATCCTTGGCCGTTCCTCGACATACCTCGAGAATGTTTATGGATCTCACCGGAGGACATTTACTGATTACAGTGACCTCGAGAGCATCTGTAGGCATTGTTGACCGCTCTCGTCTCTTCCTTCTTCCTGCTCTGCAGAATGTCTACGTAAATATGTGCTTGTTTGTGCGAGGCGTTTTTTCAATATTAGGGGTTTTTCTCAGCCAAGAAAAAAGTCTGATAGGAATTTTTTTCGCCTCCAACTCCTACATGTGTCCAGTTAACCACTGCTTTTGTCTGTCCAAACAGGTCTCACTTGTAAATGAGTCTTCGAGGCTCAATGTGATTTATCTGTTTAAATAAAGGTTGAATTAATCTGTATGCAGCGCTTGTTTATTACATTTACTTATCCATCCAGCAAATTATTGTATAATTCTGTATGCAATACTTGAACGTGTTTTGCTTTGATACTGTTTTGTAAATTCTATAACATGATGTCAATAGAAAGCCAACTGTTGTACAAAGTTTGTCGTACATTTATTCAAATATAAGGATCAGAGAAATTTGGAAATGTTCAGTATGCTTAAAAAATAATTGACAGTTACATTGTACTAACCACTGTACTTTGGTTTCGAAGTACAGTATACCCACTACAAAAATGTGGACTATACTGTTTATAGGTATAGTTATCATATAGGTTACGTATACGTATAGGTTTCCCATCAGCTTCAAGTCGTGTGTTTGAATCTTTTCTCTTCCCTCAGCTTAATGCTTCAATAAGGTAAGATTTGAACAAAGCGATGTAGAATGCAGGCCGGTCTGTGAAATACTCACTCCGGGTGTGGAGCTCCAGTCTTTGTGAGCAGCGTGAGGACAAAGAACATGAACATGACAAACACTGCCAGTCCAACCCAGAAGCCTATGACGATGGAGTCTGAAAGGTCAGAGAAGAAGGTTTGTTATCAGTCACTTGTTTTCTCAGTTCATCTCCTCTCCTCTGTGGGTTTAATGTGACTGAGGGGAGCAAAATCCTCAATCACCGAGTTCAAGTGAGCATTAAAATTTCTCCCAAATGTAATTAGGCTGCTGTGGGTACATTTTATGTCCCATTAAGTGTCAGTCGAATCAAAGCTAAAAGTCTGCATGGAAAGATGCTGAGACGCACAGAGCAATAAACAGTGAAGGTGTAATGAGTCAGAATAAATGTAAAGTACACACTCAGCTTACATCTGTGCACTCTGAGTCCCTCAAAAGACACGGGCTCTTCGTCGTCATAGTATTCGTACTGCCACACGTAGTCACTGCGTCGCGCGCTGATTTGGCTCCGGTTATGGAAGTCGGACATTTCCCACCGTTTGGACGCGCTTCAAGCCCAGAGGACAGACGGGAGACATGCAACCGAAACGCCGCACGAAGTCGGCAAACCCAAACGTCCGGGGAAGTTGCGCATCTTTTGTTCCTGGTTGCAAATTTGGAGAGTCTAGAAAGAGAGAGAGAGACAAATAAAAGAGGGGGAATTCCGCACAAATATGCGCTCGGATGTTCAGCAGAGATGGGAATTTGGAGACGGGGGGAGTAAATCCATGGTGTTAGAACGCGTAAAGTGCATCCATCATGTCCTGTCTGAGAGGCAGGCAGCGGCCGTCTGATGCGCAGCACCTCATCCAGCTGCTGGGAGGCTGGGAGGCTGGGAGCCCCCCCTCCCTGAACCGTGTCCTCAGTGATGCGTTTCAGTCCTCACGTGTTTGCTCTGAAAGCAACTTCAGCTCCAATTAAAAAGGACGTGACACTATCGCCCGCCGCTGAAAACTGGTTTTGGGTTGTGTGTGAGTGTGTCTGTTAGCGAAATATCTAACGAACCAGCGCGCGGATTTCAATGCAAATCTTAGAACGTGATCACTGGTGTTCCGTCTATGAGTGATTCTCTTTTGGAGATAAGGTCAGTCAAGATGGCTGCCACAGCTAATTAAAAACACAGCTGTGGCTCCATCTCAGCCAATATGAGAGATATTGAGCTAAACTTCTCTGGAGTAGCCGAGACTGATCCCAAAGACAGACTCTGAGCGCTACATTTTTTTGTTGAAGATCTTGCCTTGAACTATTTGGAGTGCACGCTGTTTTTCTGTTAGCAAAATATATTCACAACCAGAGGACAACTTTCAGTAAAGCTTTCTGATAAATACTGATTTTCTTTTGGAGCCAGACCAGTTCAAGATGGCCGCCGCAGCCAGTTCTTAGAAAACACGCAAAAAAAGGCTTTACAGATGTTGTGCTAAACTGCACTAACTCTGAGTGCTGCTCGCTGATCTTTGCTTAAAACGTTAGCGTTAACGTTTGTAATCCATGTTTGTCTGTTAGCAAAATATTCCATGACTCGTTGGAGGAATTTTAATGACACTCTCAGAAAGTATTCTTTGGATGTACTTTTACAACTCATTAAGTTTTGGAGTTAATCCAATTAAAGATGGCCACCACTGCTAGAAATCAACAGCTAATGAAAACTGCCTCCAACCCAGTCCGTTTGAGAAATATGACGCTACTACTTGATGTGGTAGTAGCTGAGAGTCATACACAACACATGTTCCGAGCATGTGACCTCACAACTCAACCTCTCAGATTAAAATGACTTCAGGTCAGTCTGGCATGAAAAGTGGATGAGCTGCAATTATAAAAGTGATGACATCACACTTTTTAACACTATGCTGTGAGACATAAAACACAACGTAATAAAAAATGATTTTGTTGCTTTTTAATCAAAAATAAGAAGCTTGACATAAGAGGTTGTGACTCTAATTTAGCAGATTATAGTTTTTTGGAAAATTAGCATAATATAATTTTTAAAAGAGCAGCTCGTGAGACTTAATTAAATGCCTGAGTCATCATGCTGTCATGTTTTTATGAAACGATGCAGAAATGTAACAAGAAGTTTCTCAGCTCTAATTTAGTCAGCAACATATTTTTTTTACGTTTTTAAGTCTTGTATAAATAGTCAATAGTTCTTTACTCCAAATTTGTGCGTAATAAGAGGAAAAAAGCTGAATATGAAAAATGATGAAAAGGTGATTTTGCCATTTTTAACTTGTGAAAAGCATCCAGAGTGAAAGAGCGACACAGTTTATTCGTTAGAGCCAAACTTTTGTTGCAGCTGTGGATAAAAGCATGACTCACCATTCGATACATTTTCACTAACAATAATTTAGAAATGATTGTAAGAGTCGGTTCACGGTTGAAAATACATTTTAAATTTCTAATCCAGTAATGGCACTCATTTTCTCTTTTAACGAACTTCTGTTCAAAGAAGCTTAATTAAAGCTTGAACTTTTGAGGAGTCTCTCAAGCAGACGTGCATCAGTGACCTCGCTCCAGCAGTAATGTTCAGTTGTGCAGCTGGAAATGCATTTTCTGCATCGTGGATGATTAGAATGACCCAAAACAGCCGGAGTCGTCGGCAGTAATGGAATGATGCAGATATGGTGTTTAGACGGTGAGTGAAAGCCACGCATTCATTTTGTCTGCAGCAAATGTTCACTTTTAAAAAGTTCAATAAAAGTGAGAGGCTTTAAAACGACAGAATTTAGTATCATTTATTGTTGATATCAGAAATGACAGCAGATGATACAGTCAATGTTTTTATTTTTTTTACTTTTGTAGAATTACGTCCTGAATATACACAAGAAGAAAAATAAATCCAGTTTTTACAAACATGTAACACCAGGTTAGACACAAGGTCTGAGCCCAACAACATCACAAATTATACTTTTTATTTTATGAAAGCCCATTTCATTATAATACAGCTATCAACTTATCCATCATCATCCATCATCCATCCATTCATCATCCATCCATCCATCCATCCATCCATCATCCATCCATCCATTCATCATCCATCCATCCATCCATTCATCATCCATCCATCCATCATCCATCCATCTATCCATCCATCCATCCGTCCGTCCGTCTGTCCATCTGGCCATCCGTGTGTCCGTCCGTGCGTCCGTGCGTCCGTGCGTCCGTGCGTCCGTCCATTCGTCCGTCCGTCCGTCCGTCCGTCCATCCATCCGTCCGTCCGTCCGT